GTACTAGATCGTAAGTAAAGTAACGTAGTAGTAATAAATAAACGTAAGTAACTTAACTTAACTTACTACTAGTATTATACGTACACACGACACGACACGACACGACACACACACACACACACACACACACACACACACACACACACACACACACACACACACACACACACACACACACACACACACACACACACACACACAGAGGGAGAGAGAGAGTTGAGGTTAAATTAAAAAGAAATTATAAAAGCTTGTGTGAACATGATATACACTTCCAAACATGATACAGAAATACCACTGTCATAAATATGAATTAAGAGGCTTGAGATTTAAATTGGAAACTCAAATACATATTTATTTATTTAGGTGATACAGCGGACGGAAAAGTCAAAACTGCGGACGATTTTTTCCAAAAGGTTTGTGCAATTAAGATCGTGTGTGTGTGTAATTAGGTTAAATAACATATGTACTTTTACATGCACTTTTTATTAAATTATTTTGCTGTTTCATTCATATGGTGTGTAAATGTGTATACTTTATTGGAATGTGTGTGTGTGTAAAACTTTTTGTTTATGAAAGGGTAGTTTGTTTTTGTACACATGAATTTTTATGAAACTTGCTTTTGTGATGTGTTTTGGTTATACAAGTTTTTTGTTTTTTTTGTGTGTGAAGTTTGTTTTTGAAATTTATCATAATTAAAAGGCTTATTTAATAATGTGTATTTTGATGTTTTCATTAGTTTTAGGTCTTTATATGCTAATTTTTCTTAAAGGGTTTGTTTTTTACTTATCACTGATGGTTTTTATGTTCTATCCTGAGCAGTGCTAAATGGTTTTTGTTACATTGTGCTTCATTTGTTTTTCTCTAATGTTTATTATTGTGTAAAGTTGTCTTCCATGTTTGACTTGTTGGTATTATCTGTCAGGTGTTTTTACAGGGGGTGAGGAAAGTTAGGGTAGAGGACAAATGTATATGCAAGTATATTATACATTGTCTATTCCCTTGGTTACTATAATTAGTTTGAAAGTTTCATGATATAAAATGTTAGTCAAGGGAACTACTAAGTTTCTTTCGTCTTGTTTATTCATGAAACTGGATGAGTCATGAAGGATGTGTGTGTGTGTGTGTGTGTGTGTGTAAATCAAATGATGGCCCAAAGGTATCACACTCCTTATTGACAAGTACTCCTCAGTTACGTATATAGTGTGTGTGCACCTGGACAGAAGTGTGTGTATGTATGTTATCATGCTCTCTGTTTGTTTTGATTTCATTGACACCAGATTCATTCATATTTAGATGTGTAGCTTGTTATAGATTGTTTGATATAGCTGTTTTAGCCAAGTTTTATTAGACAGCTTAACTTCACTGAACTTCAGCAGTAAACTGAGAGTACACACAAAAATATCTCCCTTCATTTGGAAGTTCAGCACAAAAGCACTTGTCATTGATTGTTTTGTGTTGAATAAAGATTTTGATTGTTTGCAGTCTTGTTTGACAGTCTCTTAATTATAACTTGCATTCAGTCAAAAGCAAAGTTTAGGTGTTGCTTTGTGATACAGTATCTGCCATATCCTCCTCTTATCTTCCTACCTTCATGATACTCCAAATCAGAGCAGTCTGAGAAAATCACACAAGCTTTAGGTTTTTTCTTTAGATATATTCAGCATGATTCATGTATTTCGATACTGAAACTTGTTATGAAACAATTTCCATAATCCAATATGACTAGCTAAACCAACAGGATATGATAATCCCTTATTTTTGAAAGATTATTTAGTTTATGTTCCCACTTGTTGCCCATTTAGAATATACTTAACTGTCCAAGGTACAAAAACTTCATTGCTTTTGTCTTGGTTGCTTGGTCAGTCTTAGGTTACTAGTTGCAAGAAGCAAAAACATTTGAGGTATGTTTTGGAATTTCAGAGTATTAAAATATTCTTGTTTCTCAGTGATGTATTATGTTTATTGTTACTGATTTTTAAATTATGGTACCCAACAAAACCAATTTACATATTAATAAGGAGGTGGTATATGTACTGTAAACATATTGAAGCTTTTCAATGGAAAGTGCTGTTCGTAAGAAGTCTTTAACAACCATTTGTGACCATTTTTTGCATATTCAAAACTTATAAATACATAATGCCTATTTTGAGAGTGTAACAAGTTTTATACAACAGAAGTAGTTTGGATAGATGACTTTGAAATAGCAGCTTGAAACAGTGTCTCCAAACTTCTGCAGTATCTTTTTAGACCAGTAGTTCCCAATCTGTAGTCTAGTAATCTCTGTCCAGGTGATTCTGTGTAATTATGAAAAGTAAGCAGCAGTGCAGTCTATGGAGTTTGCAGGATTTTAGAAAAAAATAGTGTTTCTCAAATAAATTGAGAATTGTTGCTTTAGACACTGACCAAAATGCTATAAAAAAAAAAAAAAAAAAAAAAAAAAAAAAAAAAAAAAAAGAAGAAAACAAGAAAAAAAAAAAAGAATCAAATGTCAGTATTTTAAGTGTCTTAAAAGAATAACTTGATTATTCACACAGCATATTCTTGACAAAAACATGCAGTCAGAATTACTAGTCAGGGAAATACTTGGGTAAAAGTGGAAAGTTACCTTTGTAAGACATCTTGCCCAATTTTAACATTTACATCATGCAGATAATTTGTTTTTATTTAGGAATAATTAATCTCTAACAAAATCAGGTGGATCTGAAATTATATTTAAGATTAGAAGATATTTTTTTATTGATTTCTTTTAAACTTCTATAGATTATGGATGAAACTGACACTCAGATTTCCTGGCCTTCAAAATTGAAAATTGGTGCAAAGTCGAGAAAAGGTGAGATACTTCCTAAAAATTGTTTTAATGATGGATTGAATATACAGCACAAAAGAATTACTTCATTTCAATAATATACTTTTGTGGTATGCTGATCTATTCAACTTCTTTTGTTTATGTTTATTTAATTAAAATGCACGGGTTTCAAAAATGCTAAGTGTTATAATTGATATATACTAATGCATGCTGCACAGTTATAAAGCTGGTAACATGCTACAGAATGTAACAATGAAATTTTTGTTACAATTTCATACATTTCAAATTTAATTGGACCAAAACAAGTTTTCAGTTAGTAGGTCATAGTAGAATTGAAATATAACGTAATTTTGATAGTAGTTTCGTCTTTACTGTGTAATTTAAAATTTTGTATAAAGGTCCATTTAATAGCACTGTGGAACAAAGTATTGTTAAAATGCTATTATATGCTCTTTTAATGCATTCTGTTGGACTGGTTATGAGTTAAGTTTTTCTAGGTGATCATGAGTTTTACTGTGATGTGACATATAATGGAAGTTTTTCAAGTAACTGATATAAATAGCTTTAATATTTACTGGATTGTGTAAACCTGCCACCAACCTAATGACTTGTGGCCTCATAAGCAGTGGCTTATATTTGAATCATATTCATCTCGTATTGGGCCAGCTGCAAGTAAGTGTTTATTGTTGGGAAGTTTATTGTATCATGTAATGTTTTGTTGTTGCTAACACTGCATTTGATATTTATGTAAAATGTGTATTTATTTCTGTTTTTTGAATGAGGAAATAATCAATAGTGACTGTACTGATATTGGACTATCAGTGTAACCTTTTGAGTGGACCATATTTGAATTAATAAATATTGATGCAAGTTTAACCTGTACAAACATAATGTGTGGCTAAAACTTATTACAATAGTGTATGTATTATTGTATATGTGCTGACAATGAATTATTTAAAGACTGTAATGTAAAAATGGTTCATCTCTAGACTTTTTGATTCTGACCAGTTTATAGTAGTAAAACAGGGATATTGTATGATGTCAAGAGTGTGTGTGTGTGATATATATAGAATTACCAAGGTATCAAACAGCATGAAAAGTAGTCAATAAAAAAATTATTATTATTCATGCTGTATAACATCATGTAATATAGCTTACATTTTGTGTATGAAGAGCAATATAATAAGGGTTGTGTGATTGATATTTTGAAAAGTTAGTGTAACACTGTCTTTGATGTGCTTAGTATTACTATATTACATCCTCTGATTGTTTGGCCATTGACCCTTCCACTATATATTTGAGAGATAAAACTGAATTTAAATTTTTTTAATTTTTCATGATCATAAAAGCTACTAACCATAACACTGATAGCTAATAGTCACAATTATGGTGAAACTAATTAAAGTATTAATCAATAACTTCTGGTCAATTGATTAAAATGTATGATCATAAGAATACATGAATCAAGAGTTGAGTATATTTAGCTATTAATGATAATTTTGGCCATTATCTCTATCTTCATGTGGTTTGGCTAATTTGGAAGACTTCGGTTAGTTTTTAAATTCATGTATATTAAACTGAGGATGCAAAATAAGTCTAAGTGTTAAAATGAATAGAATAAGCAATATGGTAATATTCAAAACAATTTAAAACCCTATAACCAATAATATTCAAGTTATGGATGATATATCATATTGATTGAGTTGGGAACTTAAACATTTCAACATGTCTTCATTTTTTAGTATTTGTGATCAAACTTTTCAAGTGAAGGTTTAAAATGACATTGTTAGTGCAACATAATACATTTCTATTTGCAAAAGTACCACCAGAATGTTTAATGTCTCGGTGATTGGGTGTTCTTTGTAATAGTTATGAAAATTGTTCCCACACCTTTTTTCTGAAACTTGTATCGATTCTTTAGTTCACAACATAGCTTTTAAATGGTCCTTTAAATATCCAAGCCACTTACATAACCATCTTTTTTTTTATATAATAAATACTCACAATACTCTCTAGTGCCTTCTATTAGGAAATAGTTTTTGTTTACTAGTTTAAAACTTAAGTTATGACGATAGTTACTTGTTTTCGCTACCTAGATGTGCGTGTGTGTATTATATATAATAATTTCATTGATAATCATTACATGTGTGTGCTTATAACTACAAAAAATATTTTCTAACAAATGTAATCAGAGTTTAGATATAATGTGCTATTCACTGTCAACATTGTCTCTGAAAATAAGATGTAATTCTTTAAAATATGAAATTTTATGAATAAAATTAATTTAATATTTCAGAATTACTTTAAATAAACAGGGAATAGGTTTATAACATCAGCATAATTGCTTACAAACCCTTTATTTTAGTTTTTTTTTTCTTTCTCCTTCACAAAGGATTTCTTAATCTAATTGTGTTTTAAGTTATAAAATTTTCTGTATACTCAAGTGTATTTTTCTTGTACATGTTCTGACAGCTTATTTTGCATAGGTGATATTTTTTTGGAATAACAAGAAATAAAGTCTGAAGTAGTAAATGTGCTTTTAATAATTAAACAAGTTTTGGAAATGTCTTTTTATCTAGTTTGAAGGATTTGGTAAAACTAAAATTCAATTACATTTTTGCAGTCTGAACTTTCAGAGAAATTGTTTTTGAATTGTTATTTTTTTTTAATGTATAGAATTGAATGATTAAATGGAGAATTTGCCTACAAAGGATAACCAAAATAAAAATTCCTTTAAAAAAAAAGGATAACCAAAATAAAAAGTCCTTTAAAAATGTCCATTAATTTGTAACTAATCAATTAAGTCCTGAGAACTGAAAAAGCTAGCTTTGAAAATCTGCCTGTTTTAGTGCCATGATTAAAAAAAATTGTTATTGTAGCAAACAAATAGTGTTTATGATAACTTGCATTACATATTAAATCTGTTTTCAGTTACAAGATGGAGCTCAATTGTTTTCAACTGTTATGGTTTGTAGTGAAATATTGGGAAGGTCAAACTGATTTGGAAACAACTGTATATTTCAATTTTTTTTTTTTAGTTAGAACATACATTGATATAAACTATAATGAACTTGTTCTATCCTGATGATATATTTGAAGTAGTAAAGGATAATGCATCTGATAAATAAAATGATTCTCATAATGCCTGTGCTAATTATTATAATATTAAAAAGGTTTAAAAAAATGCAGTTGATTTTTGTTGTTGGATCGGACATCTGTTAAGTGTACAAGTTGAAATTATAAGGTAGGCATATTTTCTATCTTACATCTTTACTTCTTTTTGGTATCAATCTGTTATTTTATTCTTTACTTGGTTGTAAACCCAGTAGACCCTCACATCAAAATTTGTGGAAGACAACCTGCTGTTGCTGGAGCCAGGGAAAAGATTTTGGAAGTTTTAGACACAAAGGTAACCTTTTCTGTCATTCTGAGTGAAATATCTAAGGAAAAAAAAAAGTAGCTTTTAGATGCATAACCATCTGTTACTATGCTTAGAAGATCAGTGTTTAATTTTTTTTATTAACCTTACTGGTTGTTGCCACATGTTCATTCTTGTAGTAAAACAAAAATTAAATAAAAGGTTAAAGATTTTGATAGTTGAAATTAAATCAGTTTTTGACTTATTTTGAAAGCTTGTGTGTGTGTGTGTGTGTGTGTGTATATAATAAAAAAAAAAAAAAAAAAAAAAAAAAAAAAAAAAAAA